CTATATCTCTCTTCCTCTCCCTTCTTCTCTGAAATCAATAAAAAAATATTTTTGAAAAAGTACTTGGTGGGGCTGACAGTCACAATGCCACCTCTACCTCCCCCCCGCCCCCCCGCCTTCCACTCCATAGAGATGACCCATCAGGCCAGGCAGGGGACTCTATCACCCTGACCAAAATAATTAGTTTAGATATGGGGAAGTGACCTAATAAAGCCAATCATAATCTTCCCCTCAAAGCTATCTTATTTTTGAGGACATGGTGGTAGAAGCATATAAGATTGAAGCAGCTAGCATTTAGTTATCTCTGTCACATGGAGAATGTGTGTCCATGGCAGGAAAGAGAATGAGACCAAGGCACAAAGTAAAGCAGAGCCCTGAGAGATGGAGTGGGAGAGACATGGTAACATTTGTTTGAGTCCCGAATTCAGCTCTACCTGAAGTCAGTAATACCACTACACAGTTCCCTTCTTGCTTAAGCTGGTTTGTGTTGGTTCCTATCACTTCTAATTAAACCAGCCCTCATACAGAAATGGAAGTGTAAAAAGAACAGACTCCAGAAGGTGGGATTGTCAGAACTGAAGTGAAATTTCAGTGGGTATCTGATGGTCCATGGTTGAGAAGTTGGAAATCCTTGTATCAAGCCATCTGGTATCAAGTTGGCTAGTTAAATGATCTGTTTTATCTTGAGATTTGGGTCATGCATCCATCATAGATGGAGATTTCAGGGACACACTGGGAAGATGTCTGGATATGGGAGTATGCTGGCCTTTTCTCAAGATTTTCATTAAGGTTCTGCAGTTCAGCTTTCTTCTATGCTGGCAGAACCAGAACTGTATACAGCTGTTTAGAGTTGCCTTTTCTGCTTGTGGCTAGCAAGCTAAGACTGCCAAGGGTCTAGTAATCATGCGTTTTATAGATGATAAAACCAGATCCTCCTCCCCCAGCTAAAGTGAGTGAGAATAAAGGCATAGAAATAGGAAATCCAATAGGAGATACTGGAGCTTAGGGCTTGGGAAGTTCCAGAGATAAAGACTGATCCTCCAAGCCGTAACCGGTTTGGCTCAGTGGATAGAGCGTCGGCCTGCGGACTGAAAGGTCCCGGGTTCGATTCCAGTCAAGGGCATGTACCTGGGTTGCGGGCACATCCCCAGTGGGAGATGTGCAGGAGGCGGCTGATCGATGTTTCTCTCTCATCGATGTTTCTAACTTTCTATCTCTCTCCCTTCCTCTCTGTGAAAAATCAATAAAAATATATTTAAAAAAATTAAAAAAAAAAAAGACTGATCCTCCAAGCCACACCTGAATGCTTCTTTTTTCTCCCAAGTTAAACAGTATTTATTTCACTTAGCATTCAGACAGTGCTAAGGATTCTGGTGCCTGGGGACCTTGGCTGTGAATCCTGTGGGAGAGAGTGGGATGTATTGGTCACAAACCTCATACTCCTTCTTGGACTCTCTAGGCTACCTCCTTCTTACTCTTCCTTAGTTGGCACCCCACCCATGCCAAGTAGCCCATCCACTGCCACATCTATAGTAGAAATGCCACATGACAGGCCATGGGATCTGAATTCCCAAGCAGATGCCCAGAGGACAATGATGCAACTCAGAGTGAGTTAGTACCCTTTGGGGTGCACCTTGGCCAATGGAAAACAGGAGACATGAAGGGAACAGATAGACAAATTCCCCCTCAATTCTCCTCTTCGTGACCTGCTCCAAGGTGTGGTTTTCCTTGCAAACACCTTGTGCTTAGCAAACAAACCTGTCAGATCTTCTCTCTGCCCCTGGCTCATATGAAATTGTGGTCAACACAGTAAGGCATTGCATTACATCCCTCCACATCTTTCCTTGCCTCACAAGTCTCTCCTTTTGCCATCCTGGGCTTCCATATTCCAAAAAAGTATGAGTACTTTAATCCTTGCCTAGAGTCTGCTTTCTAGAGTGCTTGGCTTAAGACAGGGGCCACAATCAAAGACCCCATCTCAACATTGGTCCCAATAGTAACAAGAAAGTCCTGAGGACACAACTGACTTTTTCCTGCTCAAAAACAGGGAATCTAGCCCAGACTGCTGGCTTTCTGTAAGGGGCCCAGTGCCAAGGTTGCCAGATCAAGCCATTTCTGACCTACTCTAGGAGAAAGGCTAACAGCTGAAGACTGCCTGTGGTCCTCAAGTTATATAAGTTCTTGAGGCTCCCCAAATTTGGTGTCCATTGCCATACTCCCTTCAGGAATATTTTGGTGAACTGGCCTCAGTGTAATAATAGACCATGGCCAGAGGGTGAGGAGTAGAGCAACCTGCAGGTTGGCCAGAATGAGTGGTGGTGTGGTTGTCTCACTCCTGTGCTAAGCATCTCCTTGGGTTGAGGCTTAGAAGCCAGTGCAACTCAGGGGTTTGTGACTATCTGCTCAGGGCCACTGGAGCATGAGCCACCCAAGTAATGAATAGGGAAATCTGTCTCTGGGGGTGTTGAGCAGATTAAGGTTGACTTATTGCCAGACAGGCCCTATGGAAGCCATGATGTTAAGAGAGAAGGAAATGGACAAAGTGTGGCCTGTTGCTGAGAGACAGAAATTCCAAAGGCCAGATCCAGACTCAAGGACAAGGACTCAGTAAGATCTTGCGGATGGTTATTAGCTCACAAGAATCCTAGAATCAAATCAATCAGTTTGAAAGGAATTGTATCACTAGAAAATCCTCATACCTGGCAAATGAGGTTCTGGGAATGTATAATCTCTAAGACATTCTTTGGGCCCAAAATCATGCCCAAAGGGAAGAGGGAAGCTTCAGTTCCAGAAGGGACATCCTTTCAGGGATGTCCATAAAGGAAAATAGGTAAGGGAGATACTTCCCAGTGGAAAGGATGAAGAACTATCAGTTTTGATCAAGAAACTTGCTCCACTGTCCAGAAGGATGTGCTATATGCTATAGATCAGTGACCATTGTTTTCTCTTCTCCCCTATTCCAAATGAAAGGTGTGTTTTTCCTTTTTAAAAATTGGTTATCCTATTTTCCTCCCCCATTTTATATTGGTTATATAGAAGTAGCTAAATTTATCTTTTGGATATGGATTGCAAAATCATGAGAAGTTATATCCAGACCTGATCAAGAATTGCACATTACAGAGAGATCCTGGACTGGGGGTTTGTTCAATAAAGCAACTGGACATGATCCTGTTTTGTCTCCCCTTGGGAAGTGAGCATGTTTTTTTGGGGGGGCGGGGCTTAGTGTCATTGCATTGATAGGCAGGCACACTTTTGAAATTGTATGTTTGTCAAGAAAACTATAGGTGGATGCTGAGCAATAAAGAAGTGGAATATAGTAGATGCACATTGCTTATTTGTCCATCATCCCTTCCTTTGGGGAGCCATTCCTCCCCTCCACACAGTCCTGGTGAAGTTGTCAATTATGGTGGTCTACTCTTCCACCCGAGAGGTGGGCACATGTCCATTCTGGCCAAAGTTTTCCCTAGGACTTTAGAGCTAGAACTAGTGAGGCCAAGCCAAAAGATGGAGACATCATTATTTGAACCCCTAGTTCCAGCCATGCCTGAAGGAAGATATATCCTTTGATTTATCAATTACGTTACCCAAGTAATTTCTTATTGGCTTAAACATGTTTGAGTTGAGTTTTTGACACTTGCAGCTGAAAGGGTTCAGACTACTAAATGCACAAACAACAGAGACACAAACACCATGTTGTTCAAACTCATTAGACATTTTACAAGTCTTCCATGATCTTATAGGGGTCAGCAAACTTTTTATCTAAAAGATCAGATTTTTAGAGTTTGTGGGCCACACATAGTCTCTGTATTATTTAAAACATTTTTTACAATCCTTTAAGAATGTAAAAACCATTCTTAGTTACAAACTAAGGCCTATAGGCTATACAAAAATAGACTGCAGGCCAAATTTGTCCACAAACCATAGTTTGCTGACCCTTTACCTAGACTCTGCCGAACTCTGCAGCCATTGGCACACAATCTGGCAGTTCCTAAGTATGAAGCAAAATGCTTTTAAATACCATTTTGGTTCAAGTCTCTTAACGTGACTTTGTAATGAGTTAAGGTTCAGGGTAGAGTTAGGAATGGGAAAAGAGTCTTGGTGCCCATTGTCTGCACATAGTAGGCACTGAATAAATGGTAATTGTTATTATTTCTTGGTAATTAAGATAATTTATCAAAATGATGCACTGTCCAAATGTCTTTGTCCAAAAGTCCCAGTTCATCCTCAGAGACCCTTTCCTTCTTTTAATATCCTTCAGGAAACCTTTTTCTGATCTATCAAGTCTGAATTACCAATCAAGTCTGAATTAGGTACTCTTCTTATCATAGACCATGTGTGGCCCTCCATTATAACTACATTATTGGTCTGTCTTTCCTCCTAACTTTAAGTACTTAGAACATGCCTGAGCCCAGGCTCCTAGCACAGTGCTTAGAACCTAGTACTGAGGGGGCCTCTATACCTCTATGTGAACATCTGTTTGAATATGTAGGTGCTACCTAGCTCCATCAGTGTCTAGGGTGGTCAGTCTATGTGTCAGCATTGTGCTGATGTACAGATGCCCTTGACATTGGTTCTTCTCTCAGTTGAAAATTATTAATTGATATATACCATACCTTACCTGGTAATGTTATTACTGGATCTATTTTTCATCCCATTCCTTCCAAAAATGAGTCAAAGACAGAGGAAAAGGTAGGAATAGGTTTTCTTAAAAACTGTTATAAAGGACGAACCCTCTGATCCCACCCTCACATCCTTTGCTCTCTGATTTGCTATCAGATCAAAGGCCTCCAGCCTCAGCAACATCTGAGGATCAGAGTGCCCACCACACAGGTGGGGCCACAGACCAGTTTAATCCATGTCTATGGGGTGGAGAGAAAATTATCCTTCTGAAAAAAATATGCGCAAGTCCCTGCAGGCCCAGGAAAGGCTGGCAAAGGCAAGATGAATCATGGCGTTCTAAACTGAAATCTTTTGCCCATCTCACAGATGCAAGCAGGAAGTACCACCATTGATCAGCTTTATATGGCACCCACAGTATACAACAGACAGACAAAGACAGACAAAGCACACACCACTTCTAAGCTGAACACTGCTCACCATCTAGAAGCACCTTGGATAAGCACGTGAAACACTTTGCATAAGAAAGATATACTTTTTAAAGGAATGAAGAAGTATTTTGGCAAAACATCTACTCTCCCAGATTGTAGGTAAAGAGGGACTTTAAATTCTGAACCTTCTAGATATTGAAAATTACTCCCTTCTTAATGGCTGTATATACAGCAGCAAACTTCCAAGTCTGTTGTCACAGCCCTCTACGTGTATTCTGAATCTACTTTACAGCTGATCAAACTTAGAAATAGAAGGTGGCCTTGAGCAAGGGGACACTGGGGCTGTCTCCCGGTGAGGGCAATTAGGAGGTGTCTCGGCTCAGCCAAAGGCAGGGCCTCTGTCTATATGGAGAGGAAAGGGAAAAGCTAGGGTGGCCAAAACTCCCTTTTTCTTCCAGCCCAGAGAAGTAGTGGTTCCACAGGAAAGGCTGTCAGGAAAGAAAGGCAGGTTCCCACTCTTGGTGGTAAAGGCCAGGGCAGGCCAGAGTTCCTCCTGAAGCCTCTTCGGTGATGCTCTCTGTGTTTGGGTACTGTGGATTCACTGTTTCCATAACTCTCTTGTCACCTGCATCTGAGCCTAGACTTCAAGTCCTTATTTATTTTAAAAAGGCAGTGTGGGGAGATGGTTTAAGAGAGTATGCAACACAGAACAACAATCTTTCTACAGCCTCCCTTTGAGTAGGCTTGGGCTTTTAAAGGTCTCCTTCACCCTGTCTCCTAGGGATATTTAAAGGCAGCTTTTATGAGACTCTATCTTTGTGTTTCTCTTTTATGTGTTTTGTTTTGTTTTGATACTTATATATATATATATATATTCTTTAAAAAGCAATAGTCCTTTGGTCCCTAAACTCTAAGGAATGATATGATTTTGAATGAAGTAAATCTGAGCTTCCCTTGCAGAGAAGCCTCTGGCACCACCAAGTCCCTCTGCTGGTTCCCTTGACAGTCCATCTTCAGCCAGTCCCAGCTGCCTTTCCAGCCTGAGCTTTATGCCACAGGCATAGAACAACCCACTTGATGAAGACAATCCTTAAAGTGGCCTGAGCCCCAGGCACTGGCCTTGGGCCCAATCCACCTCTGTCTGCGGCTGCTCCTTCAAGAAGGGCTGCTTAAGCGCTTCTGTGCTTTTCCTCTCTTTTCTTCTTCTCACTCTTCTGAATCTGTTGTTGGTATTAATGATAAGGGACAGGGAGGTAGGGGGTGGGAGGCAAAAGTCAGTCTGGAGGGCAAGACAAGAATAGTAGCTTGCCCCATCAGCTACATCTTAGGTGAGTGCCTGGGCCTCTCTTCTGGAGGAGCACAGCTACAGCAGGGCCCTGGTCAGCACCCTAGCCCAGCACCCACCCCAGAGGGGCTCCCTGGGGTAGCTCAAGTGAGGCAGGGCCATGAGGACCTTCTGAGATAGTGAATCTCTAAAAGTTTCAGGCAGTTAGCCCCACCAGAAACCTAACAGAGCCTGTCATCTCCCTCCCCATCACCCACCAAGCCCTGCAGGTACTGCTTCTTCAGCGTACTTGCTTCTCTCCTTATCTCCATGTTAACTGCCATTTCCCCAGCTCTTACATCATGTTCCCTTTTTGCTTAAATTCTTCATGATTCTCCATCATCTTCAGGATAAAGTTCAAAATCATGGCCTTTAAGACCCTTCATAAGCTTGCCCAAACCTACTTTTCTAGTCTCATTTTCCATCCCCCTGCACTCCCATGGCCCCCTGTGGCTATCTCTGGAGTAAAAATAACTGGTTGGATCTAGTTCTTAATTATCTCTCCCAGAATATGCGGACGGGAAATGTTGTCTATTTTATCTCAGTTCTTGAACCGAAGGAAAATCACAAAGTCTCAAACTAAGGATTCCTCCTAACTCCTGACTCTTCTCTTCCAGACTTTTTCATAAATGAATGCCCCAACATCCCAAAAAGAACAGAAAGCTGAGAGGGTCTCGGTCACTCAAACCCCATTTGCCTGGGGTCCACCAAGGACTCACCTTTCTGTGACTGGTCAGTGAGAGCAGATCAGTAAGGCCTGTTGGCATCCTTGGGCCTCTTTAGCTGGACCTTGAGCCTCTTCATGCCAATTTGAAAGCCATTCATGGCCTGAATAGCTGTCTGGGCACTGGTTGGATTGTCAAAGCTAACAAACCCTGGGGGTTTAGGCACAGAGGTTAGCTGGGAACTCTGCTTGGCAGAGCCTCTTTTCTCTCTGACCAGCCTCCTCTCCCTTCCCCTCAGGCCAGTTCCATCAAACATATACCCCTCTATCCTCCATTGTTTGCACATACATGTACACCACTCATACTTACATGGTCAAATGGTGTGAATTTTATAAAAGTGTGAGTCTTGGAAGGACAGGAAGCAATTCTGAGTATGTGGGTGTTGGTTGGGGTATTTTCCTGTCTTTCCCTAGCATGGGTTGACTCCCTCCTCAACTCCCATTCTTGTCCTCTGAACTTCAGTTGGAGTTGGAAGGGATCTCTGGTCCAGACCCCGACACCTCCTGTCCTGGCTAGACTCTAAAGCCTGACCTGGTCAAACATCTTCCAGATACCTGACCTTGCCAGATAAACCTGAATTAAACTTGTTCCTGGTCTGGGCTTAGCTCCACCACTGGTCTGTAACTTTGCTTTGTGCTATATGCTCAGTCTTTGGGAATCATTGACTTATGGAGGAACAATCTTAGGCTCTGTAAGGAATCTTAAAGTTGGCAGTGGGGGAGGCTCAGGGATTGGGCTCAGCTTACCGAAGCACTTGCTCTGGTTGGTGGCTCGATCCACAAAGACTTTGGCAGAGACGACAGCTCCAAAGGGCAGGAATGTCTGTATGAGTTCTGCATCACCAAACTCCTGAGGCAGGTGATAGATGAAGAGGTTACAGCCTTCGGGGCCTGCAGGAACAGCAGCAGGCTGGTTCAGGGAAGGGACCCTGAGTCCAGCCCCACCAGGTCCTGATGTCCAGCCCTGTCCCTCACCTTCTCTTTGCTGCTGGGGCAGGGCTGAAGGCTGCTGAGGGAAAGCTGTGCTCACTGGGGCATAGGCTGATGGGTAGGCTGGTGAAGACAGAGGTGGGAGTGGGCAGTGAACTCCAGGAGCCATCCCCCAAGCAGGGCCCCATCTGCCTGGCCAACTTTGACCAATTCAGCCCAGTCCACGGTAACCCTCACCCTTAGAGAGGCCATTCTAGGCCCAGGGGTCGGGGGATGGGAGGGTTGACTCCTCAGAAAAGAGCATAATCCCCCCACTCCTCACCCCCAATTTCCCTATTCCTTTCTGGGACCTTTCAAACCCTCCCAGGCTGCGCAGAGCCCAGTGAAACCTGCGTAGTGGTGCATCCCAGCGTAGGCCTGCTGCAGCGGGTCAGCCACACCTGGGCTCTGGGCTGGGGAGAGAGGGGCACAAGGCCACAGTGAAGGCCTGCCGGTCGGCAGGGTGAAAGGCAACAGGGAGAGAGGAGAAATCCTTTCCAGGGAGACCCCCCACCCCCACACACACACCCTGCTCTCCCCAACTCCCCCGTATCCCCTCACCCTCGCCCCCGCTCCTCACTCCATTTCGGGGAGATTTTGGCGGAGCGGGGGCGGGAGGGGGCCCACCTGGGTAAGGGGAGAGCCCGTTATTGTAGAGGGTGTCAGGGCCCGGCTGCCCGTTGGTCTGAGGGGTCAGGGAGTTGAATCCATTGACTCCAAAAGGTGCCGGGAGCCCCGGAAGCGCGCCCGGGCCACCGCCAGGAGGGGAGTTGGCTGCAGGTGGCAGAGGAGGTGGCAGAGTCAGGCCGCAGCCGCCCTCCCGGCCTCTCCCCGCCTCGTCCGTCCCCCTCCCCCCCCTCAGTACCTGCCGCGGGTAGCAGCGGCGTGGCGACTAGGCTGAAGGCCGCCACGTGCTGCATCTGTGCGGCCACCGCAGCCACCGGGCCTAGTCCCGGGCCCTGAGCCGCTGCCAGCAGGGCCGCCTGCTGCTGCAGGATCTTTGGGAGGGAAGAGGGGCTGTGGATGGCCCAGCGGCGGGCAGCTGCTCCAGCTCCCGACCCGGCCTGGCCCACCGCCAGCACACTGCGTCCTCCAGGGACCGGGCACCTACCGCCGTGGTGTAGGCTCCGCAGGCGCCAAAGGGCAGCGGCGCCGGGTGGAAGACGCCCAGCTGGCCCGCCATCTGCTGCATACGACGCAGGGCTCGCTCCCGGTCCGTGTCTGCCAGCTTGACCACGAGGCTGGATGAGGCACCCTGGGCAGGGCAGGGGAGGCCACGGTGACTGGTCCAGACCCCAGTCTTGGCCCTGGGCTGAGCGCCTTGCACATCAGGCCCTTTCCTAGGGCGCTCATCATATGTGGGGAGGAGGAGCCCGTCCCCACCCCACTGGCCTCACCCTCGGCCCCTGGTGCCCGCCCTCACCGCCATGGTCCGGCTGCCGTGCAGACTCTGGATGGCCGCCTGAGCTTCCCCCTGACTCCCAAACTTCACAAAGGCACAGCCTGGGGCAGGACAGAGGGATTGGGTGGCTCAGGCCACAGGGGCCAAAGGGTCATGTGGCTCAGTGAGAGTCAGGATCACCAGGAAATCCTGGGGTTGGCTCAAGTCACCTTTACTGGTGCCATCCGGGCTCCGCAAGACAGTGCACTCCTCGATATGGCCGAAAGGCTGGAACAGGCGTCTGACATCATCTTCACCCTGCTGCTTCCCCAGCATCCCCACAAACAGCTTTCGGTCCTCTGGGGACAAATTCAGGAGTGATTTAGGGACCCTAAGTCCTCTTGGACTCCCCAGAGTAGCCAGAGGAACTTAGGAAGGTAGCCCACCACAGTCTAGCAAGGAAGAGATGTAGGGAGTGAGAAGGTCTGGAGCTACGAGGTTGGGTTTCTTTGAGGGGCAGGATGATCTGCAGACAGATCTGGAGTAAAGGAATTCAACCCAGATTTCCATCAGGAAACCCGGGGTCTTAGAAAAAGTGGAAAGACTCACTGCTGCTCTTGTGGAAATGGATTAGTTTGATATCTTTGGTTGGGTGGAGCCCTGTATGCATCTTTTATATGTGTGACCTTTCTGTTCTTAAAGTTTGGAAAAGGCCATTTTTGGACCATTTCTGCCCTATTAAGGGAGGAGGTCCTCAGAGAAGGCCTTTGTATTCATACTGGGTCTGGAGAAGAGAATTATACCCTTGTGGGTTAGCCTGATGGCAGTGGATAGAATCGATGTCCCTTCCTGCTCCAATCGAGGGTTCTGGATCAAAAAGCAACACCAGAAGCAGTTAACTCATCATTCTGTCTCAACCCCTGACATTGAACTGTGGAATGACGACCCCCAAACCCCAGCACCGAATTCAACTTGGGTGCTCCCAGAGACCTAAAGAGGGCAGGAATCTTGGGTTCCTAAGCCTCCAGCATTATCATTTCTCCCACTATACTTGCTAACCCCCTGACCCCTTTTCTTACCTCCCACATCCACCTTTCCCTCACTGAGCTGCCAGAGCCCTCACTGAGCCCTTTCTGACTTTCTCTATTTTCCTGTCCTGATCCCTCTCCAGGAGGAACAAGTTCTGCCTATAGACCTGGATGGCTACCTGAGAACAAATCTGATCCCTCCCATTGTCCACCCTTCCTCTGGGAGTGGCAGAGAGACCAGGAAAGGGACTGTAAGCTGGACTGTGTTCCTTGGAGAAAGCTGGAGAGCTGGAGCTGGACATTCAGTAAATCAGGCCTCAGGAGCGCTATCCAGGAGCCTGGGGTAGAGAGGTCTAATCCACAGGGCCTGCTGTCAAAGCCCTGCTTCTTTCTGCATCAAGGTAAGTCTCTGAATTTGGGATGGGCCTTTCTCCAGGTGATACAAGTTGGGAGAGAGGAAGTGGGTGGGAATCTGGCTTTAGGCTTCACCTTCAAGGTCCTGGAGCCCAAGAAAACCCATCCCAAAGTCCTTTACTCCTTCACAAGCATGGCTAGGCTCATGGGGTCCTTGGATCCCAGGCACAACAGAGCAAGGCTGGTGAGAGTCAAAAGGAAGAACAGACTGTCTGAAGTTAGCAGTGGAGGGAATCTCCAACAAGGCTATATGTGTGTCCATATTTCACCTGGACGGTGTGGGATTCAGCCCAGGCTTTCCTGGGTACCCAGAGGTGTCTGTCAGTCAATGCCGTGTTTGTGTGGAGGGTGGGGGCTGCAGGAATAGTGTGAGACAGGCATAGTGTGTTTCAGCAGAATCTGTCCAGAGGATTACTGCCCAGCCAACCCTGAGGGAGAAGAGATAGATAATGTACTTGTGGCCAGAATTCTAGAGGAGGTGCTGACCTTCTGTAGTGAGAGTATAATCTGGTGGGTGTGCTCCACTTCTGGGAGTGTTAGCCACAAAACAGTGCCATTGGAACATACCACTGGTTTCTCAACCTTTAAAAAAAGCAGTGGAACCCATTGTTCTAAAAAAATATTAGGATGAAGTTCAAAATATAGGAGAAAAGCAAAACTGCTCTGACTGAGGTCAGAGAAGTGTGTGTGTGTGTGTGTGTGTGTGTGTGTGTGTGTGTGTGTGTCTGCATGCTGGAGTTCCTCTTGCTTCATTTTCCCCCTAATATCCCCTAGATGGGGCTCCAAGGAAACTTCTTTGAAAACCACTGACCTAAAAAGAGAATAGAGTTCCAGAGGGTGTATGAAGAGGGATCTGTGATCATCCTATTCAGGAACCTGAGAAGACAGGAAAGGTCTTTCATGAATCTCTTGACCAGTATGATGTTGGTGGCTTTGCCTTGCCATTGGAGGATAAGCCTCATTTGGTCAGGGAATCAAACCCCAGAAGACTGTGTCATTGGTCTGAGGTTGAACATTTAAATATGTCCATAGGGCTGCATAAGGCCCAGGAGGAGTTGGAGAAAATCTTAGGGCCTCCAGAGTCCCAAACTTAAAGTGGCTTCATGATGCCCTAAATTGTAGTGCAGCTGTGTCATTGGGAAGGGTCTACAAGATAGTCATTGTACCTAGGTAAGATGTCATGCCATATGGACCAGCATTCAGATAGGTAGGAAAAGAGATGTCAAGGCTAGGATAACACCTCCAGGATGGGAAAGAGAGTTGTGTGGATAGTAGTCTTATCTTTTATCTGCTCTTCTTCTTGTTGATCTTTTCTGCAGGTGGTTGTCAGTTCAAGGTCATATTACAGACCATGAAATTCTATGATCCTTTTTTTCCAGTTAGAGTCTCCCAAGTTTCAAATTTCCATTTCCATTACAAGGCATCGACCCTATGGCTCTGGGCTACTGGACTGTACAGAATTTGAAATTGAAATGAGGCCAGGATATAGGCTGGGCTCTGTGCTGCCTGTTTCCCAGGTATCACCTTGAATCTTGATACTCTCTGCCATTTTACAGGGAACTGAATGGTGTTCGGCAGGTGACAGTGACCATAAGTCTTAGGTGATTCTTAAATGGTAGAATACATTTTCCACAGCCCTCAAGATTTGGAGGGCTGATCAATGCCCCAAGGGAGAGATAATGATGTGATTTAGTCCAGATAATTTAATTTCCTTCAGGTCAAACTCTACCAGTTTAGTAAAAAAGAAAAAAGAAGAAAAAGGAGTCTGTAAGAGGTAGGTCAGAAATGGCTGAATAAAAGCATCCCTTGGTGGTGGGTGGGTCCCTAGAAAGATGGGAATATCAGACAGGGAGGTTCAACCTTCCTGAAGTGGGAGGAATCAAAAAGATAGCATCAGTGTGGAGTTGTTGAGACATGGTGTTGGAAAGTTGAATGGTATGCATTTTTCTGTTGGCAACCAATGTGTACTCCTTGCTCTTTTATCAAATGCTTTTTTGAAACCGAACCAAGTTGTTTGGGTCCAAGAGGCCTAGCCCCATGATGCTGGTCAAACAGGTCAGGGACTCTAATCTGGCAAATGATGGGGTTTAGAGTCCAGAGTCAGTCCACTCCATCTTCCTCAGGAATGGCACCAAGATGCTATTCAAGAAGGGAGGCCTTGCCTCAAGTTGTCCCAGAGGAATTCCTGAGGTATTTTCAAGTTTCTGGCCTCTAGGTCCCTCATACCCACTCACCTCCATATAGGATGTCATGATTATACAAACTATGTAAGGGCAAGGTTTCAGCATTGAGATACCAACCATCAACCACCAAACACATCCTAAAAATACTAGTCCACCTTTCCTTCCAAATACCAACCCAGGAGTTTCTGCTGGTGGCAGCATTTGGAGCAAAGCATCTCTCCCTGTGTTCTTAGGGATAACTGAAGCTTAAGGAGCCAAGGAAGACTGGGAATTAACATGAAGGAAATATCCAAGGCAAAGTGTCTTCTGGCAAGATCTGATGAGTGTCAAGAAGGCCTTTAATTGCACACACACGCACATCCCTCTTAGAACTAATAAATTAAGCAAAGTTGCAGGATACAAAATTAACAAATAAAAGTCAGCTGTGGCCCTGGCAGGTAGCTCAGTGGTTAGGGTGTTGGTTTGATTTATGGTCAAGGGCATGTACCTGGGTTGCAGGTTCAATTCCCAGTGCCAGTGGGCATGTGCAGGAGGCAACCAATTGATGTATTTCTCTCATATTAATGTCTCTCTCTCTCTCTCTCTCTCTCTCTCTCTTTCCACTCTCTCTAAAAGAAATGGAAAAAATATCCTTGGGTGAGGATCAAAAATAATTTTTTTAACTCAGTTGTATTCCTATACGCTAGTAGTGAACAATATGAACAGGAAATTATGAAAATAATTTCACTTATAATAGTATCAAAATGAATAAACTTAGGAATAAACTTAACCAAGGAAGCAAAAGACTTATACCCTGAAAACTACAAAATATTGCTGAACTTAAAGAAGATGTAAATAAATGGAAGATAATCCTTGTTAATGATTGAAAGACATGATATTGTTAAATGTCAACACTACCCAAAGTGATCTACAAATTTAATGCAATCTCTGTCAAAATCCCAATGGCATTTTTGGTAGAAATAAAAATCCATTCTAAAATTCACATGGAATCTTAAGAGACTCTGAATAACCAAAGCAATCTTGAAAAAGAAGCAAGCTGTGCTTTGGCTCAGTTGGTTGAGCATCATCCATGTACTGAAAGGTTGCTGGTTCAATTCTTGGTCAGGGCACATGTCCAAGTTGCAGGCTCAATCCCTGGTTAGGGAGTGTGGGGGAGGTGGCCGATTGAAGTTTTTCTCTCTATCCCTCTCCCTTTCTCTCTCTCTCAAATCAATAAACATTTCTTTTTTAAAGAAGCAAGTTGAAGGTCTCACACTTCCTGATTTTAAAACTATTACAGCTTTTCCAGTATGGCTCAGTGGTTGGGTGTCAACTCATGAACCAAGAGGTCCTCCATTTGACTCCCATTAAGGGCACATGCCTCAATTGTGGGCTTGATCCTCTGTAGAAGGTGTGCAGGAGGAAGCTGATTAATGTGTCTCTCTCATCAATGTTTCTCTCTATCCCTCTCCCTTCCTCTCTCTCTGAAAAAAAAACAATGAAAACATATTTAAAAAATAAAATGTAAAAGCTTATTACAAAGCTATAGTAATCCAACAATGTGATACTGGCATAAAGACAGACACATAGATCAGTGGAATAGTATAGAGAGCCCAGAAGTAAGCCCTTGCATATATGGTCAAATGATTTTGACACAAGTGCCAGTCTTTTCAACAAATGGTGCTGAAAAAACTGGATGTTTACATGCAAAAGAATAAAGTTGGACTGCTACCTCACATCATATAAAAAATGAGC